TAGTTCGACCAGTTTGATATTTTTCCCTGAAATTGATCTTAAAATTCTCCGTAGCCGTGACTCTTTCCTTTAATATTGTTGTTTTTCTCACATAGCCGAGAAATTTGAACTGAACAATGATTGTGCCCTTACGGGTTGCAATGGTGAAGCCAACTTTTGGCTGGTCAGCCAAATTATTGCCGCGGGTCATAGGTCGCCGACCACATTCTAGTTGTTTGTTCGTTTGTTTGTTTTGAATTTCGCGCAAAGATACACGAGGGCTATCGGCGCTAGCCGTCCCTAATTTAGCAGTGTAAGACTAGAAGGAAGGCAGCTAGTCATCACCACCCACAGCCAACTCTTGGGTTACTCTTTTACCACCGAATAGGGGAATTGAACGTCACATTATAACGGCCCCATGTTTGGTAGGACGGAGATTCGAACCCGCGACCCTGAGCTTGCGAGTCGAGCGCCCTAACCACCTGGCCATGCCGGGGCCTTTAACGTTTTTAGCAACTATTTTGGTAGAAGTTATTACAGAGGTGTAAACGTGCAAAGAGATCAAAGCAGAGACTTATCAATGGTTATCTGACACTTTGGGACATTCTGTATATGTCAGAAAGCAGCGTAATCGTAGAATTATCTGCCGAAAATGTGATACATTTATATTAACTTTTAATTTTTATATCTACCGATTTAAATTTTTTGCCACGAAATAGGTCTAACAAGCTTTGAATATTATTAAATATTTTGTTTTGTATAACATTAATTCATTAAATAATTAAACCTGTTTAAATTTTGAGTCAGAAGATAGGTCTACATGGTTTGAATAGTATTAAATATTTTTTTTTTGTATAACATTCATCAAATTAAATTAATTAAATAATTTAATCTGTTTGAATTTTGAGTCACGAGACAGGTCCACGTGGTTTGTATATCATTCAGTATTTTTTTTATTAAACTATAATAATTGTTCATTGTGTGCACATTACATAAACTTAAAGTTGTTATCTGATTCCTGGGTTAGAATTCATGTTGAATCCTTTCTTATTGCAGAAAACCAGCATAAGCCAACATCTACGCCAGTACACTGGTTAGATCATATCCACCTCAAGAACACTCGAACAACTATTGGTAGTATACCAAACACGTCAGATGACGTTGAATTGCGTCATGCGCAGGAGGTGGAGAAAGAAAACTTCAGTCGTCAGGCTTCTGATAATAAAAGTGAATGGCATGGAACGTTATTAAATCAGCAAATGAGAGAAGAAATACAGTATGAAGACGAAACTAAAGATTTCACGAGACACGAGCACTGCAATCGTTTGGCGACAACTAGCGGTAATGAGTCACATCTAGAACAAAGCAAAAATCAAACAGGAAAGTTAGAAGGTAAATGTGTTATCTAAGCAATGAAAAATAATGCGTATTCAGTATGGTTAATTTGAGTAGGTTGTTTTGTTTTTAATTTTTGATGAACACAAGCTTAACAGTTCCTCCTGACAGGCCTGGCATGGCCAGGTGGATAAGGCGCTCGACTCACAATCTGAGG